AATTTAGGCTAGCCTCCAACTGACTACTCTGATAAACTCTTTTTAGAGTCAAAGGGAACAAATTCCAAGTAAGTGGTAATATTTAAACAAGAGAAAGCAAGCCATGGTTACCCAGCCACACACCTTCCTGGAAGTCACAAAACTTGAGGAGTGGGTAGGAGGTTCTATAGGGATAATGGAGATTCAGGGTCTTATTCGACTAATCCTGCACATATTCATGGGAAGCCTTGAACTGTTAAAATAAGGAAGTCCTCTTTAAGCTAAGTAAATAAGCTTCTTTAATTCTGCACTTGGCCAAGCTGTAGTCAGATTTTTCTTTGGGCCACCAGTTCACAAATTATGTTACTGAGGCTTATTACTAATTATGAAAGCTCAGCCTTAGCTTAGGCTTATCCCACTAACTTATAACTTAAATTAGCCTGCTCCTTTTCATCTACATTTTACCATGTGGCTTTTTACCTTTCTTTCATTCTGTATGTCCAACTTCCTCCATGTCTCGATAGTGTCTCACTGACACCTAGATTCCTCCTCCCCTTCCTCTCTCTCCCTGGAAATCCCACCTATACCTCCTGCCTAGCTACTGGCCATTGAGCTCTTTATTACACAAATCACAGCAACACATCTTCATACAGTGTACAAATGTCCCATGAGAACCAACACTTGCTGAGTCCATGCTTTATCCAAGGGCATGTGAGAGTCACAGGGCAGAAGATGGGCTTCTTGGGCTTTGCTCTCAGAGAACTCAATTCTGAGGAATACTGGGTGTGTCTATTCAAACCTGAAATCCACAGCACAGGAGACTGTGCAACACACCGCGGTGGCCACTCCTAGGACCAGCTGTTACAACTGCACACGTAAGTTAAGAGGTCCATAAAAGACAGTGTCTTCATTAGGGTATCTGTTGCTGTGATGAAACGCCATGACCAAAAAGCAAGTTGGGGAGGACAGGATTTTACACTGCTGTTCAATGCTGAAGGAAGTCAAGACTCAAACAGGGCGGGATCCTGTAGGCAGGAGCTCATGCAGAGGCCGTGGAGGGGAGCTGCTTTCTGGCTTGCTTCCCATGACTTGCTCAGTCTACCTTCTTACAGAACCCAGGACTACCAGCCCAGGGATTGGCACTACCCACAATGGGCTGTGCCCTCTCCTATTGGTCACTAATTGAGAAAATGCCTTGTAGCTGGATCTCATGGAGGCATTTCCTCAACTAAGGCTCCTTCCTCTCTGATGACTCTAGCTTGTGTCAAATTGACACACAAAGCCAGCCAGTACAAGCAGTTTGTTCACCATGTTTCTGCCACATAAGGAGCCATCAGTATCTGTTGGATGAATGCAATCATGGACAGTGAGAGTGGACTTCTGTTTTGAAGGAAAAGTAGGATTTACTTACTTAAAGAGTGAGTAAAACATTAGTCATTGATGGGGCAGAGGATTTGGGGAGGCAGGAGGGAAAACAACGGGAGTAAGTAAATGTACAGAGAGTGAAGCTCAGGCATGCTGGCAAATTGTGTGTCATTTGTGATGAGACTATATGATACAATAGAAAACGGAGGGAAGGAAAGGTGGGCTGGAGAGAGAGAGATTACTGGGGTCAACCTGTGTTAAAGGGTTGGACTTATCTACAGTGGGACCCTCTTACATTTCTGTGTTCAAGGTAGTTTTTCCTGCTGTCCCAGAATGGTCATTATCAGGTCCCAAGTGCCCCAGTTTAGATGATGAAGTTGCATTAGTCATTTTTCTGCTGCTGTGGAAAAAAAAAATACTCTGACAAAAAGCAGTACAGGAAAGAAATGGGTTTATGTTGACTTATGGTTCTAGAGAGATAGAGTCCAAAATGTAGGGAAGCAGGAACAGGAAGCTGAGAGATCACATTTCATTCACACACCGGAAGTCAAGAGAGAGAGAGAGAACAGGAAGTGTCATAAAGCCACAAACCCTCAAAGCCCACCCCCAGCGATGTATTTCCTCCAGCACCATTCCATCTCCCCGAACAGTCCCATCAACTTGGGACTAAGTATTCAAATGCACAGGACTAAATTAGGTATTTCTCATTTACACCACAACCACAGTCTTAAACAGCCTCATGGAGCGCCTGCAGCCTCACAGAGAGCCAGCAGCTGAACTTAGGAAAGCCTGAGTTCACAGGGCTGGGTGGAACACAGAAGGAAAAGAGATATCCTCTAGATATGCTGGACAGACTTTGATAATGGCAAATGGTGAATCTTCGATAGCCCAGGGCTAGAGAAATGGCTGGGGTTAAGAGCAAATACTGCTCTTACAGAGGACCCAAGTTCAATTCCCAGCACCCAACCCACATCATCAGGTGCTGCATAACTGGTTGTCTATAATCCCGGACCCAGGGTTCCCAACATCTCTGGCCTCTATGAACACCTGCACTCATGTTCACAAGCCAACACATAGATACATGCTTACATATAATTCAAGATGAAATCTTTTTTAAATAAATAAATCTCTCTTTCCCACCTCCATTTTTTATGTGTTTTATGGCTACACCTTAAAAGAAAGAAGAAAGAGCAAAAAATAGCTTTGGAATAATTAAAGATAACAATTAAAGACTTTACTGTGCTTACCATTGGACCCCTTGTAGCTACTACAATATCTAGCATACTTGATGAACAAGTTGGTGAAAGAAAGACAGGAAGAAAGAAAGAAAGAAAAAAGAAAGAAGAAAGGAAGGAAAGAAGATGAAAAGAGATAGGAAGGAAGGAAAGAAGGAAGGGGAAGAAAAAAAAGGAAGGAAAAAAAGAAAGAAAAGCTAGACATCAGTGACACACCTTTAGTCCCTGCACTTGGGAGGCAGAAGCAGGTGGATCTCTGAGTTTGAAGCCAGCCTGGTCTACAGAGCAAGTTCCAGGACAGCCAGGACTACACAGAGAAAGCCTGTCTTGAAAAAAAAAAAAAAAAAAAACCTCAAACTAAACCATGCATGTAGTGGTGCCAGCCTATAATCCCAGCACCCAAGAGACAGAAGCAGGGGAGTTGGAGGCCAACTTAGGCTATCCAATTAGTTCCATAGTAGTCTAAGTCATATAGCAATAGCCTGACTCAGATAAAATAGCCCTTAAATATCATTACATGATCCTTAAATAGTATATATGTGCTAATAGCAATACATACACAATTTAATCTCCATCATATTTTCAAAACAGACGCGTGCATGTGCTAACTAAAACTGAATCCCAAAAATAAAATCAGTGATTATCTTTCAACTATGGAACTGTGAACAATTTTTTTAACTTGCACTTTATTCTGAAGTATGTTTACCTTTGAACAGTATTACTTTTATAAAGCAAGTCAAGGTTGTTTATTTAAGAGAAAAGGCCAGCCTTAAATAGGATTACACTCTCACTGGCAAGATTTGATAAGGACTCTCACAGTCTCAGAACTCCCAGGCTCACTTTGTGGGAACAGTCTCCAGTTCTAACCCTAGCATTCCTCCATACTAACTTCTTCATAGGAGCCTCCCCCAACCTCCCATTGTGAAGAGTCACATAGAAATACTGATAGGTGCCAGCAGTTTCTGAAGCTGCTATCAAAACTGATGGAAACTGTTAATGGTATAGTCTTACATGAAAGAGGGCAAAATACAAAGGGCAGGCTCCCTATGAATGGAACTCTATGTATTTGGCAAGTAGTTATTTCATTGACTAGTGAGAAAGTTTCACAAGAAACATGTCCACGAGCAGCCAGAGAAATGACAGCCAAAACAGCATGTCTTTTCAGCAATTGGACAGTTAAAAAGATGTCAGAGCATGAGTCCACTCCAGACCCCAGAGTGCACATTTACAAGTTTTCACCCAATAACCTCTAGTCTCAGGGTAGCCTATTTCCTAGAGCAAATTTTCTGACTTCAGTGTGCCTACAATTAAACTGTATGTTCTGGCCAAAAGCAACAAAGACTGCACATCTAACAGCTTCCATGGGCAAAAGCTGCTGGTCTTCAGAACATACTTAGGTTGACAAACATCAAGGAAGCTGGTACCAAGAAATCTCAAGGGCCATTAGACACCAGGACACCAGGATCAGGAAACAGCCATCTGGGTAAGCTAATATCATTCTAACCAAGAGGGGAGGAAAACAGAAGACACTCAGTGGAGCGTCTTCATGACATCCCAATTTCTAACACCATTGCTAAATATCCTTTTGGAACTGTTGGCATCTTGACCTCATTGAGCCTAATTAATGAAAAGCATAAATTCCAGGAACCAGAACAGTACCTGGAGAAGTCTGAGGCCCCTGCTTTTTATTCAGAGTGTGTGTGTGTGTGTGTGTGTGTGTGTGTGTGTGTGTGTACAGTTTGGACAAAGACATCTTGCCACAGAGGGCCTGAAAGTCAGCAAGAGCTTATGTCAGAGAACACGAGCACCTCAAGCACTTCCCTCACATTTTGTGTGTTGGTTTATGCTCTAATCAGTGCTGAGAAATGAGACTTGGCAGGAGCTCTGGGCCAGCCCAGGCTATATAGTAAGTGCCCATTTCAAAAAAGAAATCTCAAAACCCAGGAACAAAGGAGTTAGACTGGAGATGTGACCAAAAGCTGAGATGAGCCAGGAGGAAGTGTTGACCAAAGAAGGAAGTGGTGGCCAAAAGCACCTGTCCTGGACATCAGTTGCTTGGTAAGGGACCAGGGCCAGAAAGCCCATCAGATGCTGCTCAGTGTGAGGACAAGTCTCCCATGGGACTAGTGTATTCATTTCATTGGAATATGCTCTACACAGACAGAACTGGGCTGTGTCCCATCTTATGTGGGCCAAGAGCAATCTTGGTGTTTCTAAGGACAAGCTGTCTAGTCTACATGAGGAGCAGCCAGGAGGGGCACTGAACTTTGACCTCCATAGGTGAGGCAGTCACATTCATCATAGCCCATTCCTCCTGTCCATTTCTTTCATCAAGTACTTTATTATAGGCTCCCAACACCCCGAACTTGCTTCTATGATCTTCTTCTGCCGGAGGCTCCTGGGATGTCCAGCATCCCTTGAAAGATCATAGCACATTGCGTAGGGCAAGTTAGCTGAATTCTCAGGCCATGGATGAAGGTTTTTAGGACAGGCATCTGTGCTGAGTGGCTGTTAGAGTCCACCATCTCAGGCTCTAAAACCCTGAAGCTCAAGTGTAAAGTTCACTGTGCGACCTGCAAGACCCAAACTCAAAACTCTTCGAGATGAAAATGGCTAAACCATCTGAACTTCAAGTTTCAGGTCTCTTGCCAGCCAATCTGGTCTCCCAAAGCCCAAAATAACAGGATGCTATCATGGTAGGGAAAAGTTTAGACAGGACTATGAGAAGTTAGACTTGCTACCCAGCCTTACAGATCCTTTGGAAAGGTCTGTGTGCACGGTGGACAGGGGCAGATGCTCAGACTCCCCTCGGGGTGACCTGCAATGGCATGTGAGCACCAGAGCCTTGATGTCCTTCTTGAAGTTGCTGTTGAGAAAGCCATAGATGAAAGGGTTGACGCAGGTGGAAGCCATGGCAAGCATGTGACAGATCAAGAAGATGAGGTTGCCATGGCAAGCAGGAATGGCCTCCTGGTACCAGTCCTCCAAGGTGTTAAACACATGCAGGGGCAGCCAGAGCACTGCAAAGGCAGCTACCATTGCCATGAGCATGCCATTGACCCGCTTCATCTGCCCTCCTCGTGAACTGATTGTGTCCTTGTGGAACGCATGCCTCTGCCTCTGCAGGCGCTGGTAGATGCGTACATAGCAGATCATGATGAAGACCAGAGGGCCAGAGTACTGAAAGAGTAGCAGGAAGGTGGTGTAGATGAGACGGTGGTGGTCCGAGGACCAGAAGACAATGCAGACCACCTTGTCCTCCAGAAACTCTACCACCTTAGAGTGATTGTGGTTGAAGAGGTCACTCAGGATGCTATTGGACAGAAAGGGCAAGGACAGGAAGCAAGAAATGAGCCAGATGACCACAATCCCCAGGTAGGCCTGGAAAATGCTGGGCTTCCAGCCTGTTGGATGGATAATGAGCTGGTGCCTCTCCAAGGCAACAAGGACCAATGAGAGGATGGAGACTGTCACTGACATACACTGGATGAAAGTTAACATCTTACACAGGACTTCACCAAAGATCCAGTGGTCCATGATGGTGTAAGTGGCTGTGAGTGGCTGGCATATGAGGCACATGAGGAAGTCAGAGAAAGCCAGGTTAGCAATGAGTAGGTTGGTCACATTGGACTTTTCCTTTTGCCTTGTGGTCACGTATATCAAGCAGAGGTTTCCCAGGACCCCCAGGATGGTCTCAATGCTGTAGGTGGTGATGATGAAGGCCAACAGGTCCACTGAATCCTGGCAGCCATCAGAGAAGTTGTAGAGGAAATCCAATGGGTTGGTCCCATTCTTACTCTGTAGGAATCCTGGGAGGAGGGGAGCCAGGAAATGAGAAGAGGTATTCATGGCTAGTGTGAGAAGATCCAGGAACTCAGGACTGAATGGCCCAGTTCAGAGGTACAGCCTGCAAAGCAAACCAATAGGACTAGGATCATGCCTCTAGGATGGAACCCAGGTAAGAACAAGGGTGAGGAAGAAAGTTCTTGGCTCCTTCTATCCCATGGTATTGAGAGCTATCATATAAGGATTAAGGTAAGAGGCTGTCATCTAATAATCATTGCTGCCTGCCAGAGACTATGCTCAGTGCTTCGCATATTAGCTACTTTATTCTGACAAGAATTATCGATCTAGTTCATTGGTAAAAACCTAAAAGCCACAGGAAGCCATTTACCCATTCTCACACAGCTAATAAGGTGCCTGACTCTCCATAACTTGCCTTACAAGTTCCCTCTGACCTCAGAATTTGAAGTCGTTCTGATGATAAAGAACTCAGATCATAGAAAGCCTTTTGTCTTGTTATCCCAACAGAGACAAGAGATCCTACTGCATAGAGGTACCCTGTCAGTCTTTGATGACACCCATGGAACCTGAACTTTGGGGCTGGGCATACAATGCGCTCCCCTGGCTGCAGACCCTAAAACCCTGTCACCTTTGATTCTTAGGTGGCACATCATGAAGGTGAAGACTGCCAGGGACACACATTGGTTTGTCGGTACCCTGCCTTCCCCATGCTGCCCACAACACTCTGAGGGGGGGGGGACAAGGCTGGCATCACGGTCTTCTGAATAAAAAAACATTTGAGGACTAGGGTTTGAGAGGGAAAAGAAGCCACCGCTGCATGAATCTGTGTCACATGTACTGACCCCAATGCCACAAAAGGAACTGAAGCCCAGAACTCTGTGTGACCAGAGTGAGGACATCAGTGTGGGGCAACACCAGCATGACCAGAGTGGAGTTAGCAGGCAGGGAAAGCTCCATGAGATGACCAGTGCTTTGATCACCTGTTTGACCAACATGGGCCAAGCCCTAGAGGTAAGAACACAGACCCCTGAAATGACCTATACAGCCATAGACCTCCCAGAGCAGAGAAACCGATCACTGGGAATGCACGTGGGCTTCAGGGCCACAGGAATAGTCAGTATTGTCTTCACTTGCAACCTGCAAGATCAGAGATGGATCTAAGGGCAGGGAGGGAGAAGAGAATCCAGATCTCATGGGATGAAAAGGAAATGAATGGGCAAACAGAGGGGAGAGTTCAAGGAAGGACAGAGGCAGGAAGAACAGCAGCCTCCTGAGACTAGCGAGTACTCAGAATAGCTGGATCCGAGGAGAGAGGAGGATGAAGAAATGATGAGCTGGAGAGGTAAGCCAGGCCAGGAATGATGGGTGAGCCACTGAAAGGCTGCCAGCAAGCCTTGTGCATTCCAGAAAGGTCACTTAGATGTAGGGGTTAGCTTGAGCCAAGACAGAAGAGAAGGGACATTAAGCATTCAGAGTTTTGCCTGATTCATGCCCTTTTTATCAGAGGAACCATTAGTTTCTAACTCACAGGATAGTTGCCTATGGCCCAGGATACCACAGCCCAACACTGCTTACCAGTCGCTCAAACTCTGAGCCTGGGTCATCAAGAGAGCTGAGTCCTTTCATACAAGATGCTGAAGGTAGAATGTTCCTGAGGGGTACATCTGAATAGAGCCCAGTGATGAAGGAAAGACTAGGTGCCATCAGGGCCTGAGGAGAAGTTATTGTGACTCAGCCCATGTGTCCCAAATTAAGACTAAAGAGACCAAGATTAAAAATGGCCAGAGTGAGACCATGAGATTGAGGGAGCAGGTTAGCAGGCAACAGGCGGTAGGGGAGAGTTTTTATTCAAGAGCGCATGTCTATTCCCCAGGTCATCTGGGAGCTTCTGAGGTCAATGACAGGGTTCCCTGCCACACAAATGGGACCATCACATGTGTGTAAGAAGTGAGCAAAGCCACTCCTGGTGGTAGTGCAAACTTGTTGGAAATCAGTATGGCAGTTCCTTAGGAAAATGGGAATCAGTCTACCACAAGAGCCAGCAATTCCACTCGTAGGCATATACCCAAAAGATGTACATTCGTACAACAAGGATATATGTTCATAGCAGCATTATTTGTAATAGCCTGGAAGCAACCAATATGCCCCTCAACTGAAGAAGGTTACATTTACACATAGAGTACTACTCAGCAGGGGAAAAAAAAGAAAAGAAAGCAATGGAATCATGAAATGCACAGGCAAATGAATGGAACTAGAAGAAACCATCCTGAGTGAGGTAACTCAGTCACAAAAAGACAAACATGGTGTGTACTCACTTATGTATAGATTTTAGATATGGAGCAAAGGATCACCAGCATACAATCCACACTGCCAGAAAAGCTAGGAAACAAGGAGGACCCTAAGAGAGACATACATGGTCCCCCCCCCAGAGAAGGGGAAAGGAACAAGATCTCCTGAGCAAATTGGGAGCATGGGGGGGTTAGGAGAAAGAGTAGGGGAGGGGAGGACATCAGGGAGCAGGAAGATCGAGTCAGGGAAAGAGCAAGAAAAGAGATACTACAATAGAGGAAGCCATTATAGGTTTAAAGAGAAATCTGGCCCTCAGGAAATGTCCAGAGATCTTCAAGGATGACCACCACTAACAATCTAAACAATAGTGGAGAGGCTACCTTCAATGCCCTTCCCTGATAATGACATTGATGACTACCTTATATGTCATCCTAGAGCCTTCATCCAGTAGCTGATGGAAACAAAAGCAGACACCCACAGCTAAACACTGAGCCGAACTCCTGGAATCCAGTTGCAGACAGGGAGGAGTGATGAGCAAAGGGTCAAGATCAAGCTGGAGAAACCCACAGAAACAGCTGACTTGAACAAGGGGGAGCTCATGGACCCAAGACTGATAGCTGGGAAACCACCGTAGCACCAACCCAGACCCCCTGAATGTGGGTGTCAGTTAGGAGGCCTGGGCAGTCTATGGGGCCTCTGGTAGTGGATCAGCACAAATGAACTTTGGGAGCCCACTCCCCATAGAGGGTTACTCTCTCAGCCTAGACACATGGGGGAGGGCCTATGCCCTGCTCCAAATGATAGAGACAGACTGTGAAGGTCCCCGGTGGAAGGCCTCACCCTCTCTGGGGAGCAGGAAGGGGGATGGGATAGGAAGCTGGGGGGGCAGGGGAGGAGGGAATATAAAAGAATACAAGTTACAGGGCACATATGTTACAGGGCAGTCTGACTCAGTCTTAGGGCAGCAGATGACAAAGAAGCTGGGAAAGTGGGAAGGTGGGTTTTGGAGCTCCTAGCCCCCAGCATTTTTCCTTCAAGTCAGCCTCTATCTTCTTCAGTCAAACAATGGGACTGATGATTTGAAAAGGTCCCTTTCAGAAACTTTCTTCACTACCTCTTGGGAGGCAGAGGTACCCAAGGCCAAACTGGCTCATCACAGGTGTCGATCAAATATGAATTCCCTTCCTATTCATTCTACCAAGTCCATCCTAAGGGACTTCATCTCCCAGCAGGAGCTGGACAAAGGACAACACAAGGCCATGCCCAGGCCTCTGAGTCTACCTGACTGCAGCTATCGGATGCTAATCCAGAAAAGGGCCTCCCAACAAAAGCATATGCCAGGACCCATCCGATCCTTCACCAGCACAGGCCTGCAACCACTCTCATGTTCTCATGTGTGGTGCACCACCGTGCCCTGCCCTGCTCAGAGCTCACCTGTAAGCAGGACTCCTCTGACCCCAGGGCTGGAAGGGGCCACACTTCTGCTCTTCCTGTCGCAGAGCTGAGGACCAACCCCATCACAACCAGGGATTATTTCGGAATCACTCAAAATGCGCCTCGTGTGCTTCCTTCACCATGCTGCCTAAAGACGAAGCTCCAGATAGACACAGAGAAGAAGGCAGTGGCAACCAACATTCAGAAGTCGCTTCTGCGAGTTACGGACTACCTGGAGAGAACTGGCTTGGAGAGGAGCTGAGCCAGTTGAAGCAGGGAGAATGGAGCAGGGCGTTTTGAAGGGATTTGGGAAGACAGAGTACAGGTACCTTTCCCCGAGAAGAGAGGCAAAGAGGAATGGCCTTACCTTACCCTGAGAGTTCGTGTTTCCTAGGAGACACAGTACAGAAGAGATACTGGTTTTCACTTGCCATCCCACGGAGCATAAGCTATACCACAGTCCCACCAGAAAGGCATTACCAGGCTGATCCATGCAGCACGGTCAGTAGTTGAGCTGGGCAAATTCATGTGGTCCTGCCTAATGCTAGCTCCATTTAAACTTTAATTTTTACTTAATGTGTATGTGTGGTGCTGACAGACACCAAAAGGAGAGAGTGACAGCTCCTGGAACTGGGGTTACAGATGTCTGGGAGCTGCCATGTGGGTGCTGAGAATCAAACCCCGGTCCTTGGGAAGAACAGCCAGTGCTCTTACCTCCCAAGCCCTGAGATGAAGGACCCTGGCCAAGGTGCAGATTGTGAGACACAGAACTGGATCCCTGGCCAACCTGGCTCTAATTTCCCTGACACCCCTTTTGCCAAACACAGTTTTGAAAAGAGGAAGGAGTAGTGAGCGTGTGCTAAAGCAGCCAGAGGATGCTGAAGACAACATCCCCGACCCACTGACAATGCTGAACCTGATCCTCTCTGTAGCCATGCCCCAGGGGAGCCTGGAGGGATGCTGGGATGTGGTTCAGACACGTGAGAGTGTCCCTGGAGGCCTCGCTCCTCTGTTGGACACTTCATTACCCTGTAATGTAATCCCACAAAGTAGCTCAGAAGTCCTACTCCATGGCAGTGCCGACAATGAAAGGCCTGCCTCTTCAGCCCTAGGTCTTTTTCAAGCAGGTGTGGACTTGACTCTCCTCCTGGTGACCCCATACACTATCCAGGGCTTCTGGTGTCAAGTCCCCTAGGAACTGGCAGGGGGCGGTAATCCTGGGTGGAAGGGGAGCATTTATGCAAGGTCAGCAAAACCCTGTCTGGATTTCATTTTGAAGTGTGGAAATATGTGCCCTGCACCAACCCCACCCCCACTGCCGTCCCACCCCCCCATCCAAAGTTTGGCTGCACCCTTTCCTAACCAAC